CTGTCAGACATCATGATAGAACAATACCATGTCTTACATATGCTGTCAGACATCATGATAGAACAATACCATGTCTTAGATATGCTGTCAGACATCATGATAGAACAATACCATGTCTTAGATATGCTGTCAGACATCATGATAGAACAATACCATGTCTTAGATATATTGTCAGACATCATGATAGAACAATACCATGTCTTACATATGCTACCAGACATCATGATAGAACAATACCATGTCTTACATATGCTACCAGACATCATGATAGAACAATACCATGTCTTACATATGCTATCACGCATCATGATAGAACAATACCATGTCTTAGATATGCTACCAGACATCATGATAGAACAATACCATGTCTTACATATGCTACCAGACATCATGATAGAACAATACCATGTCTTAGATATGCTGTCAGACATCATGATAGAACAATACCATGTCTTAGATATGCTGTCAGACATCATGATAGAACAATACCATGTCTTACATATGCTACCAGACATCATGATAGAACAATACCATGTCTTACATATGCTACCAGACATCATGATAGAACAATACCATGTCTTACATATGCTATCACGCATCATGATAGAACAATACCATGTCTTAGATATGCTACCAGACATCATGATAGAACAATACCATGTCTTAGATATGCTGTCAGACATCATGATAGAACAATACCATGTCTTACATATGCTACCAGACATCATGATAGAACAATACCATGTCTTAGATATGCTGTCAGACATCATGATAGAACAATACCATGTCTTACATATGCTGTCAGACATCATGATAGAACAATACCATGTCTTACATATGCTGTCAGACATCATGATAGAACAATACCATGTCTTAGATATGCTGTCAGACATCATGATAGAACAATACCATGTCTTACATATGCTACCAGACATCATGATAGAACAATACCATGTCTTACATATGCTACCAGACATCATGATAGAACAATACCATGTCTTACATATGCTACCAGACATCATGATAGAACAATACCATGTCTTACATATGCTACCAGACATCATGATAGAACAATACCATGTCTTACATATGCTACCAGACATCATGATAGAACAATACCATGTCTTACATATGCTGTCAGACATCATGATAGAACAATACCATGTCTTACATATGCTGTCAGACATCATGATAGAACAATACCATGTCTTACATATGCTGTCAGACATCATGATAGAACAATACCATGTCTTAGATATGCTGTCAGACATCATGATAGAACAATACCATGTCTTAGATATGCTGTGAGACATCATGATAGAACAATACCATGTCTTACATATGCTGTCAGACATCATGATAGAACAATACCATGTCTTAGATATGCTACCAGACATCATGATAGAACAATACCATGTCTTACATATGCTGTCAGACATCATGATAGAACAATACCATGTCTTACATATGCTACCAGACATCATGATAGAACAATACCATGTCTTACATATGCTACCAGACATCATGATAGAACAATACCATGTCTTACATATGCTACCAGACATCATGATAGAACAATACCATGTCTTACATATGCTACCAGACATCATGATAGAACAATACCATGTCTTACATATGCTACCAGACATCATGATAGAACAATACCATGTCTTACATATGCTACCAGACATCATGATAGAACAATACCATGTCTTACATATGCTGTCAGACATCATGATAGAACAATACCATGTCTTAGATATGCTGTCAGACATCATGATAGAACAATACCATGTCTTAGATATGCTGTCAGACATCATGATAGAACAATACCATGTCTTAGATATGCTACCAGACATCATGATAGAACAATACCATGTCTTACATATGCTACCAGACATCATGATAGAACAATACCATGTCTTACATATGCTACCAGACATCATGATAGAACAATACCATGTCTTACATATGCTACCAGACATCATGATAAAACAATACCATGTCTTACATATGCTACCAGACATCATGATAGAACAATACCATGTCTTACATATGCTACCAGACATCATGATAGAACAATACCATGTCTTAGATATGCTGTCAGACATCATGATAGAACAATACCATGTCTTACATATGCTACCAGACATCATGATAGAACAATACCATGTCTTACATATGCTACCAGACATAATGATAGAACAGTACCATGTCTTACATATGCTACCAGACATCATGATAGAACAATACCATGTCTTACATATGCTACCAGACATCATGATAGAACAATACCATGTCTTAGATATGCAGTCAGACATCATGATAGAAAAATACCATGTCTTAGATATGCTGCCAGACATCGTGATAGAACAATACCATGTCATAGATATGCTACCAGACATCATGATAGAACAATACCATGTGTTAGATATGCTGTCAGACATCATGATAGAACAATACCATGTCTTAGATATGCTGTCAGACAGGAAAATACAAGGGTATCATGTGCTGTGAAACATAATAAAATGATGTCATGCTCTGGAAATTGTTTTTGTATCCCATTCCTCATCTGCGATGTATAGGGTCGGTGGGGTAGGCTAATGGTTAAAGCGTTCGCTCGTCACGCTGAAGACCCGGGTTCGAGTCCCCACATGGTTACAATGTCTGAAACCCATTTCTGTACTGGTGTTCCCCGCCGTGATGTTGCTGGAATATTGCTAAATGCGGCGTAAAACTGAATTCAGTCACCTAAGATAAACTGTTGCAGAGGTTTTGGGAGAATACTTCAGGTTAAGTTGGGTTGTTTCAGTTCCTGAGGGATGAGGCAGGAGATTGGCTGTGCGATGGACCGTATGGTTTGGTGTTTTAGTCTTTCGAAGTTTTGGTAGGATACCCACGAAATATGGCGAGAGATTTCGTTTAAAAATATGCAAATGCATTTCATTGTACAATTACTTTTCTGTACAATAGCCCAATCACAAAGCTGATGTAAGGTGGAAACATGTACACACAATCACAGTGTATGGGCATCTCAGTATTGTTTGTTGGACTGTCTAAAGCCGCACTCAGCAATATATATATATATATATATTTATACACACCCACGACACACAAAAGTAGATATTACATATGCAATGGCAAGAGGAGTGTTTACTATTGAAAACAAAAGAAACAAATACAGAGACGGACATGGACTACCGCAGCAAAGATGTTATAAATGTTTTAACGTGTGTGGGATGTGGTGTGCCTTACATTGGGAAACTGGTATGCAACTAAAGGGCCGAGTCACTGTACAACAGATATCAAGTTTGAGATCCAAATGTGCGATGTATAAATGTACGTAAACACATTGATGAATGCGGGAAAGGCCAGTTTACTTTCGTTCCGTTTTATCAATTGTTTAACAATGATAAACAGTAACGAATGGAAAAAGAACAAATGTTAAGGCTTTTAAAAACTAAACTTCATTGAAGAATATAATATTATCAACTTTCCTAATTTAACTTAATTTTTTAAATTTTCCTTTAATTATATATTTGTGCACTGAAACCATAATGTTTCAACGACTAACACTATTTCCACTAACCATGACATCAACGAATGAAAACTGAATCAGCTGAAACAGTGCAATTCAGATTCACTTTCAAACATCGTGTATAGCGACCTTTTGCTGGAGTGAGTGAGTATGGCTTTACGCCGCCTTTAGCAATATTCCAGCAATATCACTGCGGGGGATATATTCATAGTCTACACAGATACATTAGATGGTACAATGACTGTCCTTGATAACTTAGTGAATGAATCTATTCAGGGTTAACTGACATCATTAGTAGTACGAGCAGGGGTATATAATCAGGATGTATTTGTAGGTAAAGCTCCTGTATGGACAAAAGGGATATACCACTTACGATCTATCCACTTCTCCACTGTTCATGTCAATCCTGAGATGCCTATATGTACACGGGATCCGTTGACATGACACATACCCTCAGTATTCCCTTTATGAGTAAGGCTGTCACGGATGTATTTGCAGGTGATAATTCTAAAAGCTATTAACATGATAGTGCAGTAATGTTCTATTGCCCTGCACGGTGATACTGTTGTCTGTCTTTGATCACAACTGATGCAGTGTTTGATGGATAGGGTAATCGTGTGATGGAACCATAATTCACGTGATGATAATCATGTCATTCCGAATAACATTTGTTACGCCCGAAACAGATACAGTTTATCATCAGAATTATTGTCGCGAGTCGATCTGTTCTCAACGAGGATGTTTGCTTTAACAGATAGTATCAGCGGTAAGATAGCCACATGAGTGTAGCCGCCACGCAGAAGGCTGAGTTCGAATCTCAACATGGGAATGCTGTGTGATTTCCGGTAGTGAATATTGCTAAAAGCGGCGTAAAAGCATACCCACTCCCGGAAAATTCAACGTTACAGTACTGTATTTTTCCTTTTGGTCCATTCCCAATTGTAGTCACACACAAATAAAGAGACATTACTCGCGAATAACATAATAACATTTAACTTGTCGTCTATTGCAACTGTCACTGAAACACTGGTGACATGATCCCAAGTGATGAGAAAAATCTATTAAACGTATATGAAAATCATAAAAGGGTTGAAAAGAATGTTTGTTCTGTGTGAACAGATATTTTACGTGACAACATATTTATCATGATTGATTCATTCTGATACTTTTTTTTAAAAAAGGAAAGGACCCGAAGTATGCTACCTGCCACAAGATCAACTGTTGCGGCAGCCTTGGTTTCCAGTGACAAAGCGACCACCTGTCATTACGGCCTCTACCCCTGTACCTAAACGACCACAGCAAACTGCTACTTCCAAGTACTTCCAATAAAGTTCGTCAAAACATTAATCACAATGAGTGGTTACATGGGTCTGAGGACAATACCTTCCAAACCTTTCACGCCCTGATCAGAACCTATCGGAGAGTCAGACCTATATTGACAGCAGCATTTATCACAGGACTCATGGGTCGCGGTGTAGTGTATGATACCGTTCATGTTACAGGACTGACGGTCATAAGCGTGCTGTCTATCGTCACTAACTTCATCTTTATCAAAGTTCGCTTGAAGACACACGAGTCCAACCAGGGATCCATGCACTTGGCAGTCAGCTTCGCTGTTTCCAATCTGTTAATATCAACTGTAGCAGCTCCTCTCAGTCTCATTGCTGACTTCGAGGTGTTTGAAATAAACCCGTTTGCGTGTGTAGCCCTCAACTCGCCCGCCTTGATGTCCTTGACCTTACCCTTGAGTTTCCTCTTCGCAATGACCGTGGAACGTGGCATCAGTATTTTCTGTCCTCTCCGGTATCCGGCCATCGTGACATCGTCCCGGACGAGGAAAGTAACAATTCTCATCTGGGTGTATGGAATAGTTTGTCTTATCATCCCAATGCTGGGCGCCAACTCCATAGCTGACAGACAAAGGAGACAATTAAACTTCACCGCATGCAACATGGCTTACGTCATGACGGGGACATATGTGTGTTTCGTCACCATGGGCAACGCAGCCCCGACGATGACGATTCTCTTAGGGCTGAACCTAGCCATTGGGATCATAGTGACAAAACGGTACAAAGAAGAAACATCAGTAAAGCTCCTATTTGCGCCATTAGATGTTCTCCTCAAACTAAAGAAGGCCCAGCGACAGAGGAAACTGATAATCGCTCTTCTTTTGGTCGGACAGCTGTATTTCGCATCTCACGTGCTTCTCCTCGCGGCGCTGATTATCGATTATAGGGGGTTTCACTATAGCAACAATAACAACCTGGGTTGCTCCATTTGAACTGTACATGGCCGGCATGATCGCAAGCACCCTCAACACTATCATATATCCCATAATCCTTGGGTATCCCTCATACCACTTCCGCCGGATTATGCGCAGAATTTTGTTTTGCAGAAGAACACGTGTTGCCCCTGAGAACTATATTAACTGACAGTACAATACGCCGGTTGTGAATGAGTGAGTTTAGTTTTACGCCGCTAATAGCAATCTTCCAGCAATATCACCATTGCTGGTAACCTGGTGATTGGATAGCGGTTTGACAGCAGTGATCAACAGTAGGATCATCAATTTATAGGAGGGAAATCCATAGTCGACAATACAGTCCATAGTCTGTGTGATAAAGGGTAATATTAAGGATTTTCGTCTTCACTGACTGGCGCTGAACGTTATCAGTGCTTTTGCTTTGTGAGTTAGGGTGGCTTTAGCAATATTCCAAAAATATGGTGGTTGGAGCCACAAAATGGACTTCATAAGATCTACACCTGTGTTGAAACGAAACCGGACCTTTGTCGTAACAAGCTGTCCCAGTTTTGTAGACTTCTGCTTTGTCTGACTCCCAGATCGAAGAGAATTAATTAAATAGCAGTCCTTACAAAGTCTAGACTCCACCGTTGTACATTGGTAATATAGTCACCACCGTGGTAAATTGGTAATATAGTCATCACCGTGGTAAATTGGTAACGTAGTCACCACCGTGGTACATTGGTAATATAGTCACCACTGTGGTACATTGGTAACATAGTCACCACCATGATACATTGGTAACATAGTCAACACATGATACATTGGTAACATAGTCAACACAGTCGTACATTGGTAATATAGTCACCACCGTGGTACATTGGTAATATGGTCACCTTCGTGGTACATTGGTAATATAGTCAGCACCATGATGCAATGGTAATATAGTCATCACCGTGGTACATTGGTAACATAGTCACTACCATGATACAATGGTAACATAGTCGCCACTATGATACAATGGTAATATAGTCACCACCGTGGTATATTGGTAACAAAATCACCACCATGACACTATGGTAATATAGTCACCACTGTTTGGAATAATATTACATGTTGTTTAAAGGCTAGGTTGCACCTGAATTATTCTGCTATGGTTAGTTTTATTTGTGTGTCAGTATAAAGAGCTTGTCATTTTTATTATGTACATTGGTATTATTGAATACCATGCAGACAGTCTTATTATGTTGTAACTGTTTTGGTTTTAGAGACTAATAGTGTATATTTAGTGTGGTCATGACTACAATTTGTTTGGTTTTCCCTGATGTAATCATAATATTTTGCAGAATTGTTTCTAGTCAGGAAATGTGCAGCAGTATTTTGCATTTTGTGTACTAGTTTGGAATAATATCTTTATTTGACCAGTAGTTAAGTTCTCTGACTGTAGATACATCGTAGTAGTGGCTTAAGTCGTTGACATTTGATACAATAGATGCTCCCTGGCTGTTAAAAGTTTACTGCGAGCGAGCGCATGAGTGACCCGCGATGGTCAAAAAGGAGTTTGTTGAGAGCAAGTATATATTGAATGTTAAAGTTTCAGAGACGGTCGAGATGCACTCTTCAGGTACAAATGTCACTCTTATAATATATCCATGTTTGTGGCGGTGTATTATAATATTTGCAGAGTATTTTTGCAATTACAGATATGTTCAATTATTTGGTCACGTGCAAAACTGTATCCTATTTTCGTGGTAATAGTGCGCTCTGATACATTGTGTTTTGTAACTATATGGCAGATTTCTGTTATAATGTCAGGATTTTAGAGTCAGTTTGTAGTTTTAGAATCAATATTAAGTCAACATGCTCAGTGATAATTCATGGAATTTACTATCTGTAGTTTTGCTAGACCTTTTTGAAAGTTTCGTGAAACTTGGGAGCAGTCATTGCATGACATTGTCATGTATTGTGAACTTATTGCTGTACTTTCATTATAATGGGATATTCACAAATGTTGTTTCATGATAATAAGTGCTAAATATAAGTTGCTACATTGTATCATTCTGTTATTTCAGAACCTGGAAGTAAACATCCTTGTTAGAGGAATATCTCGACCAGTGTTTTATGGTTCTTTCGACCACCATGATACAATGGTAACAAAGTCGCCACCATGATACAATGGTAAAATAGTCACCACCGTGGTACATTAATAACATAGTCACCACGATGACACAATGGTAACATAGTCATCATCGTGGTACATTGGTGACATAGTCACCACAATGATACATTGGTAACATAGTCACCAACATGATACATTGGTATCATAGTCAACACCGTCGTACAATGGTAATATAGTCACCATCGTTATACAATCGTAATATATATCACCACCATGATACATTGGTAATATAGTCACCACCGTGGTACATTCGTAACAGTCACCACAATGATACAATGGTAACATAGTCAACACACAGTTGTACGTTTGTAACAGTCACCACCATGATACAATGGTAACAGTCACCACCGTGGTACATTTGTAACATAGTCACCACCATGATACATTGGTAACATAGTCACCACAATGATACATTGGTAACATAGTCACCACAATGATACATTGGTAACATAGTCACCACAATGATACATTGGTATCATAGTCAACACCGTCGTACAATGGTAATATAGTCACCATCGTTATACAATGGTAATATATATCACCACCATGATACATTGGTAATATAGTCACCACCGTGGTACATTGGTAACAGTCACCACAATGATACATTGCTAACATAGTCACCACCATGATACATTGGTATCATAGTCAACACCGTCGTTCAATGGTAATATAGTCACCATCGTTGTACAATGGTGATATATATCACCACCATGATAAATTGGTAATATAGTCACCACCGTGGTACATTTGTAACAGTCACCACCATGATACATTGGTAACATAGTCACCACAATGATACATTGGTAACATAGTCAACACACTGATACATTGGTAACATAGTCACCACCTTGATACAATGGTAACATAGTCACCACCATGACACAATGGTAATATAGTCACCGCCATGATACATTGGTAACATAGTCACCACCATGATACATTGGTAACATAGTCACCACCATGATACATTGGTAACATAGTCACCACCATGATACATTGGTATCATAGTCAACACCGTCGTTCAATGGTAATATAGTCACCATCGTTGTACAATGGTGATATATATCACCACCATGATAAATTGGTAATATAGTCACCACCGTGGTACATTTGTAACAGTCACCACCATGATACATTGGTAACATAGTCACCACAATGATACATTGGTAACATAGTCAACACAATGATACATTGGTAACATAGTCACCACCTTGATACAATGGTAACATAGTCACCACCATGACACAATGGTAATATAGTCACCGCCATGATACATTGGTAACATAGTCACCACCATGATACATTGGTAACATAGTCACCACCATGATACATTGGTAACATAGTCACCACAATGATACATTGGTAACATAGTCACCACCGTGGTACACTGGTAACATAGTCACCACCATGATACAATGGTAATATAATCACCATGATTCAATGGTAATATAGTCACCACCATGATTCATTGGTAATATAGTCGTCACCCTGATGCATTGCTTATATAGTCAGCATCATGATACAATGGTAGCATAGTCACCACCGTGGTACATTGGTGATATAGTCACCACCGTGGTACAATGGTAACATAGTCACCACCATGACACGATGGTAATATAGTCACCACCGTGGTACATTGGAGGCATAGTCACCACCATGATTCATTGGTAATATATTCACCACCATGATTCAATGGTAATATAGTCACCACCGTGTTACATTGGTAATATAGTCACCACCATGATTCATTGGTAATATAGTCACCACCATGGTACATTGGAAGCATAGTCAACACCATGATACATTGGTTATATAGTCACCACCATGATACAATATTAACATAGTCACCACCGTGATACATTGGTAGTATAGTCACCACTGTGATACAATGGTTACATTGTCACCACCATGATACAATGGTAATATCGTCACCACCATAGTCACCACCATGATAAAATGGTAATATATCCACCACCGTGGTATAATGGTAACATAGTCACCACCATGACACGATGGTAATATAGTCACCACCGTGGTACATTGGAAGCAGTCACCACCATGATTCATTGGTAATACATTCACCACCATGATTCAATGGTAATATAGTCACCACCGTGTTACATTGGTAATATAGTCACCACCATGATTCATTGGTAATATAGTCACCACCGTGGTACATTGGAAGCATAGTCAACACCATGATACATTGGTTATATAATCACCACCATGATACAATATTAACATAGTCACCACCGTGATACATTGGTAGTATAGTCACCACTGTGATACAATGGTTACATTGTCACCACCATGATACAATGGTAATATCGTAACCACCGTGGTACATTGGTAACATAGTCACCACCATGATAAAATGGTAATATATCCACCACCGTGATACAGTGGTAACATAGTCACTACCGTGATACACTGGTAACATAGTCGTCACCCTTAGGTTATGCAGTCAAATCTATGACTCAATGACATGGAGTACGCCTTGTAAATGACAGGGTAAATTCCTCACGAATGAAGAGTAACAGACAACGTGATTAATTAGAATGTGATTTTATTCACTGTCATATTTACACTCAATGTACATGGTCGGTTATAATTGGAGTTGTACAAGTGGTATGTGTATATACATTTGTACATGACAATGTTGATGCTGAGAGTATGGAGAATATCGACAGGTAATATACAACTTGTCATGCCTTAAGGTAAATTGGTGAATCTTGTGACGAATTTGAGCATTTCCAGGAAGTCAGACAACAAATAGGAATGGAAGACAAGGTTTAAAGGCACTGACAAGAAATGTGAAGCAAGGGCTCGTTTCATTCCACCGAGTCGGCTTCCTTAAAAGGGCATTGAAATCATGTTTTCAGTTCCAGTGATCAAAGGGGTTCAATAAATCAGAGGATAATACAGTAGCAACCATTTAACAGTACTTGTGGGGAGGGTAGAGATGGAAGCGAGTCGTGGACGAAAGTGAGCCCTTAGTGACAATGTACATCAATGGACGCAATGGTACAAGGAGGGAATAAATAGTCATCTTGGAGCATCTTGATCGGCTATGTTACAGGGGAAATACTTCATTTGTGCATAGATGATTATCTGTACATGAGATCGTGACATACTTCATCATCGTAACATATACCCTTAGTTACATAGGAGATATCAGTCCACAGAATACTGGTTAGAACACTTTTGATAAACACGGTCGTATGATAATAAATTTCGAAAATGTTGATATAGCAATTAGAACTTAGTAGGAAGTTAATCATAACATTCTACACTGTTGGCGTGGTTGCATATTTTCAAGTTCTCGTCAAATTTCGTTCCGGCGGGGCAATCCATCTTGATTGGTCCGTAGTCAAGCCAGGCTCCAGGCAAACACATGATGAAACGTTCACAGGAGGCGGGATCAGTGAACATTCCAACTCCAAGCTGTTTGCAGTCGATACTCCCAGCTGCAACAAATAACACTGGGCTTATCATCTTTTCTAAATGAGTATATTTCATTTGTTTAACGTCGCACTCAGCAATATTCCAGCTATATGAGGGCGGTTTGTAAATAATTGTGTCTGGACCAGACAATCCAGTGATCAACAGCAAGAGCATCGATCTGGACATGTGTCAACGAAATCAGCAAGCCTGACCACCCGATCCCCTTTCGACAAGTACTGGTTACTGGAGACCAATTCTAACCCGGATATTCACGGGTCTCCGTTAGTCTGAAGCTACATGAACAGTATCATTATATTACATTTCGATTACACATTAATGTTCATTAATATGTCAATTTTCATTTCGATTAATGCATTGCATTTATATTACCACATACCTACACATCTGGCTTCATCAAACGACTTATAATTCATATTGAGGATTATTTTAGAGAATTAACGAGCGCTTCCGATTGTCCCGATTTCACACTCGGTTGTCGCTTGTACTACATTTCTGTATATATTGTACTTACATGCCCTGTAGTCTATTTTCCAGAAGTCGTGATTGTTAAATGTGTTTATCGTGTTTTACTGTTTATATAGTTACCTGCTGATGGTTGTTTTGTGCCGGGTTTTTGCCAGGGGCTCTGTTTGGGTGAGTGGGTTGTATGGTCATGCTTAGGCATGCTGGGTCTTCCCGTGGGGCGGACGTTCCAGTGCTTGGGGGTGGTTTTGACCTTTTCCCAACTCTTTTCAGATTTCTTCCAGTCGTTCTTGGGCTTCCATGTTGGTTTTGGCTTCCATGTTGGCTTGGACCTCCACGAGGGTTTGTTGGTAGGCTTAGCCCATGGAGATTTACTTCTGGGTTTCTCAGCTCCTGCGGGTCTTCTGGTCCACTGGGGTTTGGGCTGGGCAATAGGGTTAGGCTTGGGGGTAGGCTTCCACCTGGGGACAGTTGCTGAATCAGCGGTGTTGGCCCTGCGTCCACTGTAAGGTTTCAGAATCTTGGTGATGGTGCCGAGAAGAGGATAACGCCCATTGCCGCAGCTTCCTTTAAAGTCATCCATCTCAACAGACCACACAAAAGCTCCTCCGAGACCACGCTTAATTATGTTGTCAGACTGGAAAAATACACAGTCAGAACATGAAATTTTGCCATTCACAGTTTTCCTTTGTTTCTTATAAATACATTGCAGATGTATCGCTATTTATGGGCGGTCAGTTTTGTGGCAATATTTTTGGCTTATCAGAATTAGTTTGTTTGCTGTTTCACGGCGCACTTAGCAATATTCCATCTGCATGGCGTTGCTATATAAATGGGTCTGTCTGGATCGGGCAATACAGTGATCAACAATATGAGCATTGAATTGAGATACGATGACATATGTCAACCAAGTGATCCCGACCACTCGATCTCGTTCGTCGCCGCTGACGACAAGAATGGGTTGCCAAAGGACAATTCTAACCCAGATCTTCACGACTGTTGACTTATCAGAAAAGAACTGGAAATAGTTTGAATGATATTGTTTACCTTCAGTTTGATACTATCTGGGGTCTCGAATCCAACCCACTGGTCTCCGCCGTAAGCGTAAGGGACACCCTGGTCATCAATCCATTCAGTCTTCCAGCCCTCACGGTTGATGCTCTCGCAGATCTCATAGTAAGAGAGGATGCCGGTCTCGCTAGTGTATTTGCCCATCCTGCCGCCGCCTCTGGCTGGGGCGAACACGCCGTGCTGGTGGGGGTTAGCCAGGGTGAAGCTCATACCGTAGGTGGGTATTCCTACAATCAGGCGGTCCTTGTCCATTCCCATGTTAAGCCAGTAATCAATTGACCATTGCTTAAATACAAATGACATTGATGTCAGCAGTGTATACAGAAATCAACAAATCTGGATGACACAATGAAGCTCATTTGGATTAATCCCGAAAAGATTGGGTTGGAGTTTTGTCCCTTTTGAATATACTGATAAATACGTATTAACAAGAGCCTTCCAAGCACTTCTGGCAATCGCTGAGGAGAGTTTGTGGATAGTTGAGAGTCAAGGAGTCCCGGGTTTACTGTACGTCTTGAGAGAATTATTTAAGCCATCTAGGCTGTAACGTTAGGGTATGTGAACCAGTAATGCATGTAGAGCTTCAACATCTACACTTTAAACTGAATTAACATTCATATTCACTGACATTGAATCAAAGGGAGGCAACTGTACCTGATGAAGCTCACTCTTCTCGCCTGGAGGATCATTTCTGTGTTTCCAGAGGCCACTGTGATGTCCTGTTTGTTTCTCCCACTGACCGTGGTAGTTGTATGTCATCAAGAACATGTAGTCGATGTACCTGCGGACAGACGTAGTTGGTCAACACCCCTAGCATACGCTAGTAGAAGCGTATGACGTATGCAAGTTCATAACGTTCTGTATGTATACACATATTGTCAGCGAGAAGCCAGAATCGATGGTTTCAGAGACACTTTCACATTGAAGCATTTCATAAATGAATAAGACTATTTAACACAGCAATACTCACTTGACAAGCTTGTGTGGTTCGTAGGACTGGTCAATGTAGTATGTGCCTGAAGCGGTGGCACAAGTCAGCAGTAGCTTCTCCTTGCCCGAGTTGTACGCGTCGGCTTTGAAAGCTTCTTGCAGTTCCTATGAGCACAAAAGACTAGTACATTTTCCTTCTGTATTGACAAGGAACGATGGGGCAGCCTATTAAGTAAAGCGTTCGCTCGTCACACCAAAGGCCCAGTTTCGAATCCCCACATTGATACATAGTGTCCAGCTTATTTCCTGTATACTGTATCCCCTGCCGTGATCTTGCTAGAATATTGCTACACGGGGCGTAACGCATTCACCCACTCACACACTCACGCACTCACGCACTCACTCACTCTATATTAGACCCGTGAAGATCCGGGGTAGAATAGGTCTTCAGCAACCCATGTGCTTGCCATAAAAAGGCGACTATCTTGTCGTAAGAGGCGACTAACGGGATCGGGTGGTCAGTTTTGCTGACTTGGTTGACACATGTCATCGGTTCCCAATTGCGCAGATCGATGCTCATGCTGTTGATCACTGGATTGTCTGGTCCAGACTCGATTATTTACAGACCGCCGCCATATAGCTGGAATATTGCTGAGTGCGGCGTAAAACTAAACTCACTCACTCACTCACTCACTCTATATTAACAAATCTCTTGTTTTATTAAGGATGAATACAAATGAAAATTTGTTGATTGGATTGTGTGAGTTTGTAGCTTTCGTTGATTTGATTAATTTAAGGATTCTTATTTTTGCAGAAGCTTTTCCCATGATCATTTATATGACATATACAATAAACTCTACAGAGCGGTTAATAGCATGGACATTTTGTAACTGCCAATATACGATTGTGAATGTCGACATGATATACATGTGCGGTAGATGAAACGTACCTTCATCAGCAGGGAGAACCTGTATTTGTCCTCAGGGGGGCTGCCACGTGTGGCAGGGAATTCCCAGTCCATATCGAACCCATCAAAGTTATTTCTGAAAGAATTGTGACATTGAGGTTAGGGATTATTCAACGTTATGTCACGAAACGTAGGAATTAATTTCTGTAATGGCGTAACGTCAAGTTTCACATATTCGTAATCTATACACTAATCTTGGTGATTAACCATTGCATGTGACTTAAAAGTAAAATGTATTTGCCCGTGTGCAAATAGTCATTTGGCGGAGATCGCATTGTTCAAAGAGCCGATAATCATTTCGATCGTCGCGTGTGTTCTGAATGGATAAGCGGGGGTAACAGACAAAGAGGACCAGGGCCTAGATTTTCGAAGCTCTCTTAGCGCTAAGATTGTCGTAAGTTAATGTTCGTAGCCCTAAGAATTCTTAACTTTGAACGTAGCCAATGTGTTAAGAATGGGCTTAAGAAGTTCGTAGGACTTAAGAAGTTTCGAGAATAGCTAGCCAGGTGTATAATGTAAGCAGAATGACGTACGATCTTAAGTATCTGACGACGTTCTTCACCCATGACCGCCTGTTGTACTCATTGCTGATCATAGGGATGAATGGCTTGGAGCCGATCTGCCAGCCTCCGACAGCAAGAAGAACCTTCAGGTCTGGGTTCTTGTTCTTCAAGGCAATGGTTCTGGCGTACAGGCCTGTAAGAAAACTTTACAGTATCGATTTCGAGTTTTTTCACCAGCATAGACGTTGAGACTAACATAGGTATTTAAATAATGCACTGTCGCAGAACCAGTATTACGAAACGATGAGATTAATTCACTGTATTGTGTGCTACACTTCCTGTCAGATTTACGTATGTTTCAATAATGCTTGTCACAAAACAGCTTTTTGTATTCAAAACATGTAACTTTGACATGCTACAGAGGGATTCGACAAAATATGCCTTAATTAGTATAATACTGAAGCCGATACTCTTCAGCAATGACCAAGTCGTAATGAATGTATGCACTTAGTTTCACACCATGATTTAAGTATGCTTGAGCTTACCGTTGGGTCCCTGGTCATTCCAGTTGAAAGCAAGAAGGTCCCGTCCATTTGGGGTGATGTCGACGAAGGCGTAGATGATATGTGTGCAGAGGTAAGGGTCGATATCCTCAGGCAGGAACTTGCCGATACCGTTTCTTGTCTGAGCAAAACTGCTGTAGTAGCAGAAAATCTTCTTGTTGCCTATAAATTCAAAATTCAATGTCAGGCAGGCAATTCACCTCTAAATAGCGATTTCTCAGTGTGTAAAGGAAATATGAAATTCGTTTACAGTTCCCGAAGTAGACAACGACTTTGTGCAAAATAATTTCAAATAAATACAATGATAGTAAATGACTTGTTATTGTACTCAATTGCCAGGAACAATACACTGAGCATAATGGTGTATAATATGTCTGTGTGCGCGTCACGACTGGACGTACCTTCAACTAGAACTGGAGAGAAGACAGCAAGGACCGCCAACAGTCCACATAACTCCCGTACCGCCATTCTTATCCTGCAGCAAAGAAAGAAATACCGTACAATATTGTAAACGTTGTCGCCGATTCTTGAAATATGCTGAAGCGTTGGCGAACACCTCTTATATTTGATATCGGACGTGTCTTCTCTAAAGTACATATTCTTAAACTTTAATCAGTTTCATGTTCTTGAAATGCATCAAATGCGAGTGAAAAACACATTTGAATCTTGTCGCCTTGGGAAAGAATCACGCGCTTTCTTCCTATCAGGAATATACCAAGGTGAAATATAAATACATACAGAAGGTTATACAGCCCTTAAATGTCGTCATGGATATAATGAGATGCTTCATACTAAAACCGGGAATCATTAACTTTTGGAAACAGCCTGATAATTATATATCTTTCTAATACGTTTTGCACAAAGGATATTGCAATTTGGTAGATGAAGTTAAATTTGTTTTTCTAATTTTCTTAAGTCAAGTCATGCTGAACCAATATTTATAAAGATTATTGTTCGCACTCTGTTCGTGAGGTCGTTAATGCGACTTTAATGAGAGAAGGTGCATGTATGACAACCTTAATATAATTACGAAAGGCTAAGCCTTTGTTAGCAATTGGGCCGGTAACCTGCCACGAAAGGTTTAGAACAACAAACGATGCTGAGAGCTGCACGCAGCTACTCTAATCTTCAGAGACAAATTCTACATCCTTTACGCTTAGACATGAGCCTTAAACATTAGAACCCTGACCTTTGTTTTCTTTGGAGAGCGAAACATTTCAATCCCCTTCAAAGTGTCGTCAGAACCTGTTTGGTCAAATTCCAACCTCCGTCGATTATCGATTCGACAAGTCTGGCGGTACACGTGCTTAGGTGAGAATGCTGCCACCGGCCATAAAACACGGGGAGGAATGCCCAATGTGTTTGGATAGTTTAGACAGGGGATAAAGGTTTCTTTGCATTCAATCATCAAGTATGATTTTTATATAACTGGCATTGTCGTTTACTGAGAAATTATTGTATCTGATATGTACATAATTACAAAATCAGAAATAGTTCAGTTATGTTAGGAAACATTTGTTCCTGATTTTGAGATCGTTTCGACCTACATCGACAAGGCTACTAGATAATCAGTATTGTTGATATTTGAACCTAGAATATTTCCGATTGTATCAACTATTCTTTCACAATTATGACAAAAGATACACAAACATTTTGTTATAACTCAGTTCTTTTAATTAATTGCCATGCTCATAGACCATTTCATTTTCTTCTCATTCAGACAGTGGTCCAACAGATTACAACGAAGATACAAAATGCCAATCACTTATGATCCCTCCTGGAATGAATGTTAGATTTTCTCTAGTGAAAATAGATCCTCATGTTCTCTGTGTTAAATGTTCGAATGCAAATTATTCACGCTCGCTCAAGCAAAGAGGCTTTCTTCTTCAATGAAAAACAATCTCCTGATGTTCTAATGCTTTATACACCAGATAACGTTAAAAAAGATCGAGAAAGTGATTCCAATAAACTATCCCTGTACGTACAGCATGTTAAATTCCCCTGCGCTTATCGCTGGTTATCCACTGACACAGTCATTATGTTTCAGATATTGATAGCCCAGTTGCCATCAATGATGACTCGAGCAAATACGCAGAAAGTCGCGTTAACAGAACAAATTCCATGTTTCTTTCCTTAAAGGTACTAACGCTTATCACTGATACTGATTCAAGCAAAGACGTAGAAAATTTCTGAAATGAAGCTTGTTTTCTTACCTTTGTTGTACACAGAAAACTCCTGATGTTCTTTGCTGTTCTGAGATTCTGACGGAATCCTGTGCAGGTAAAGTTGTGTAAAAGTTGCTCGAGATAATTGCACTTGGTATAGCACAAGGTTTAGAGCACACAGATCCTTGTAGAAGTGATCAGCTTGAGAGGCTGAGCTTGTTCTGTCTTCCACTGGTTCCACCTGCCTATTTATAAGATGATCAGGGGTTTGTTTACTTTAAGGTTCCCCCAACCAAAACCTGCGGGACTCCGGCCAACATCGTGTGTGATTCAACGGAAACAACGTGTATATTTGCCTAAGCTTAGACAAGTATCCGTTTATCGAGTGAGCGAAAGCCAAACAAACACTATTTAACCTTCATGACGAAACTGCTCAATCTTTTATCAATTTTAACCGCTTCTGTTGCAGGTTTTTTTCGTAAGCACGGAATTCTGACGGCGCTGGAGAGCAAATTCTTCGTTGATTTTAGGGAGTCCAGGTCGGTCTTCTATTGGGCCTGCTTACCAATTCACCTGTTTCAGAGCCATGGCATTTGTTCATTGACTTTGAAATAATTCACGTGTATTTTCACAGAATACAATTATTCATAAAAATGGAGGATTTGCTGAAGTATACTCAAAATATGCAAGGATGATACAACGAATCTGACCTTGCACGTTTGGTGTTTTTAGCATTTAAAATCATTCAAAATATATTTCTAGTTTGTTTTATAAAAATGTTGAGATGTGGGCTGCATAATAATGTTCAACTACTGCTAAATGCAACGATGGGTCTGATACTGGTGCGTTGCGTGCCTATTCCATTAGAGTTTAACATATTTGGACATGTCGTGCTGCTTTCTTGTTCGACATATCGTTACATTACCGACATACATGGAAGGAAGATATTTTCATGTGCTTGCTTTATTAGTTTGTCTACAATTTTCACACCTTTGTGAGAAGCAAGGGAAGTATATATATCTTTCATTAAAGACATAAAGTATTGGGTAAGATTACTGCATATGCCATGCCATAGGTTTCCGAAAAAATGTTATGATATGATGAAATTGTATGACGAAAATGGGAAAAGAAATTGGGTGAGTGATATTAGGGAGTTGTTGTACAAAACTGGTTATGGTTATGTGTGGTGTGATCACAATGTTCAGTTGCATACCAATTTTATCATATCATTTACACAAAGAATGAAAGATATCTATTTCCAGTCTTGGTCGGAATCACTACTTCTATCCACAAAATGTTTATACTATAATCAATGGAAATCGGACATACGTTTTGAAGACTATTTAGCAAAAATCGGCGTAAAGAAGTTCCGCATAGCTCTCTCTCGTTTTCGTTGCTCTTCCCATGAATTATTTATTGAAACTGGCAGGTATGCAGGTATACAAAGAGAAAACAGAATATGTCAGTTATGTAATATGAGTACTGTTGAGGATGAACTACATTTTCTTCTAATCTGTCCTGTTTATACGACCCTACGAACAAAATACCTAAAGCCATACTATTATAAGCATCCAAGTGTAAGAACATTAATTTCACTATTAACAGATACTACCACATCAATATTACAGAATCTGGCAATGTACATCTATTTCGCTATGAGATTAAGAAAAAGTATTGTTGCAGAAAAGAATTTATAAATGACTTCTATCTACTCATGTAAACTCTAAATGTACTACAGGCCTGTGGCCTTTTTAAGTACTGAAATAAAGATTGATTGATTCATGTTTCTCTCCACATTTCCTAAGTTTGTGTCTAACTTTCACGTCATTGGGAGAGAAAGGGACATAGACACGCAGACATTTTATATCGACAAGGCTACTAGATAATCCGTGTTGAAGATATTGTAACGTAAAATATTTCCGATTTTATCCATAAACATTTTATATGAACAGCTCGTGTAAAATGCTATACTTTGATTAAAATCATCTGGGCATTCTCAAATATGAATGAACTCAAAAATGAGGTTGAAAGTGAACTATTTCTGTTTATGATAAAATGAAATACACACTGACTGCATTTCTCTGGAATAGATGTAGATGTCATAAGCCATGATGTTCTAATGTTACCTCTGTTTTAATGTTACCTCTGTTCTACTGTTACCTCTGTTCTAATGTTACCTCCTGTCTAATGTTACCTCTGTTCTAATGTTACCTCTGTTCTAATCTTACCTCTGTTCTAATGTTACCTCTGTTACATTGTCGGAGGACTAACATGCAGGAAACATGCTGATTGTCGTGTGAGAGGAACTCTATGGACATGCCGTAGCGTGAACTCTGGAGCATGCTGTCGTAGGGTGGACATATGCTCATGAAGACGTACTACAAACATTTTATTCTTAATAGATATTTTAATTCACTGAATGCCAAACATAAAATTGACGGAAAAGACACATTTCCTCAATTTTGAAACATACCAAAGCCATCCAACTTTGAAACCAATTGACATGAACTCTTCTATTCACGGAATACACGTTTGTATTCTTGTGCTATATCATAAGCAATTGTCTTTTCTGACACATCATTGTTATAACTGTCCAACTTGATTATTTACAAGGATAGGAGCCTGCAGAATAAACCGTCGGAAATTATCGTGGTCATTACACGTAGTCACCCTGGCAGGCAAAGATGTTTTCCTATTGCTTGGACTAAACAACGACTTTCCATTTGAATGTGAAGTGTAGCTAAACATTTTGATATTGTCCGAATTGCTGACTATTTGTGAAACGATTGCCTCTGGTCCTTCTCTGATCTTGGCGACCAGCATTTGAGTGTTGTATTGACCAGGTTAATAAGTATATACATTGATGGGTCATGCTATGTATTCAACGTCAGGTCATCTGGGTTAGGACAGTGGCCGTCATGAGATAATGTTTGACAGAGGCTCACTCTCACACGTTCAATAATATGAGCAAAGAACATTTGGAGTCAACAGAACTGGACTTGGTTTGCTATTCTTGTCCTATACACGTATAAATGTGTACATGTGTAAGTACGTCGATATTATGGACATCTATCAAACATATTACACGCCGTTTTGAGTGATTAATTAATAAAGTATATTTAGCGAAAGAAAGGCAACTCGGTGTATTGAAACACAACTTCTATTAGACAAATAGTGTTCTCAGAGTCCACGCAAATAAGTCATTGGGGCTATGGAGATTTGGGTTATGGAGATTTACTTAGCTTGTCAATGTAACGTCGCCAATCGGATAATCCATAAACTGACTTTAATCCTGTGTGTTTG